TGGATGTTTTTGTATTCAATTTTCAGTTTTAATGTTTGATTCTATTCAACTTGATTTTATTTGAAATTCTATTTTATTTTTATCTAAAATTGGATTTTATTTTATTGAATTTCATCCATTTTCTATTGATTCTATTCTAGTTGCTTATTGTTTTTTATTCTATTTTGTGATTTTTTTATGTGACCTACAATCTTGCCTCATCTCTCTTTTAGTTTCTAATATTTAGTTTTTTTTCTTGTTCAGTGCTTCAAATTACCCTAGAAAAATGTCAATCCGCGGATTAACCCGTAACCCATTAAGGTCAAGTTAGGGTTGGCTCTCAACCTGTGACCCGTACCCAACCCATAACCCGTTAGTGACCCAACCCAAACCCAACCTTACCCGCTCATTTGCCAAGTCTAATGCCTACTAAGCCACTACACCCATAGTTTAACCCGAATACTTCCCATGAGCTTAGATTCATGGGCTTGTGTTTATCTGCAACAAAAGTAAAATATGAATAAGTATTTGTTCAAATATTTAAGTGTAAAATGTACGAATATGTATAGCAAAGAAGGATGCTGCATTGTATATCAAACGAGATGATAAGAATAAACATTATTGTGCCCTTTTATCTACTAGCCATGACAAGCACTTGTATAATGCTACTATGTATGTTTAGTGTTGCACTAAAATGAGTAATATGGATGTGTGTTGTGATATTATTTTCTCGAGCCAAGCATTATTGGTCGACGATACCTACTAACACGTAAAAATATAGAAGAGATATGTTGTGGATCAAGATTACCAGTAACTAGTAATTTTATCCCTTTGTATAGAAGAATAATGATGTGCATGACCACCGACCATATTATATAAGTATTGTAGGGTCAGCCATAAACAGCTTCCCCATAGCTAGAGGGAGAACAATGGCTAACTTTGTCTATGGCTAGAGCATGAACTATGTCGAATCAAAAAAGCATTCTCACTAATCCACTAAGTCGTGAAAAGGATAAATCTCATCAAGTCAGACTTCCATCATAGCAATGAATATGTGATTAAGATAGGTGGAGTTGTCTCCATGGAAAGGGGATGCCAATCGCATCCATGGCCTTCAATATGACAAAGTGTGATACCACTAACAAACACTCACCTTTTTTACTATACCTGCACTGTCAATGGATGGTCCTGGTTGTTGTTGCCTACCAGACACCGCACCACCATGCACAAGTGACAACCAAGGGACTATTGGGACCAACTTGATGGATTTTTATCATTGGAGGGTAGTCATCCCATCCAATTGTAGGGTTGCAACTATTATCAACCTCACGCTAATTGTACCAAGTTGTGCTGACTCTTTGTCCGTTTCAAGGAGTTAGTGAGATAAAATATGTAAAAATCCGACCTTTTGTTTGTTGCCCAGAGTCAATGTAATAAAGATATGTAGAAATGTGTAGCCTTTTGCCCATTGCTAGAGGCTAAATAAGATAGTAAATCTGCTCTTTGTCCATCACCCAGAGCTATGTAAATGTAGGTTGTTGTCCATTAATGGGAGCCATGTATGTGTAGCAAAGTAGGCTCTTTATCCATTGTTGGGAGCCAAAAGATGTGGTAGTAAATATTACTGTAGAGAACATGACCGTCAAAAACACCTAACCATGTCATAGAAATAGATATAATCGTGTCTGGCCATATATATTGTCACGCCCCAAAACCCAACTTCAAGGCACGACAGACGCCGTACACTCGTGAGAAGTCCCACAAATGCACAAAGCTCAGAATTTATCCAATTCACATCTGAAATCCAATAACTTAAATCAAATATTTCAAAATAATTCTATATCCAACATGACTTAAACTCAAAATCTCAAGGTCAAATCTCTTGTAAATTAACAATCCATTAAATGAATTTATAAAATCTCCAATTAAAATTTAGCTTACAAGATCATGATCTATATCTAAAATCTATATCAAATTTACAAGATGGCTAGCCTTCTAACTCGTCACTCCCCTCGTTTTTCCCCATCCTTGACTTCGCCCCCTGAAATGGTGAACAAGGAAAACTAGGTGAGATAAAATATCTCAGTAAGTAAATATATGGATAGCCCATGAGTAAAATTTTAGCATGTCGGATAAACAGTTTAACATAATAAACCGTTAATACAAAATAAGATTCAATTCAATAGCAAAGCGCTTAATGACAAACCGTTAATGCAGAAGAAAATTCAGTAGTAGTCTCATCTATAAGTCATGGCCAACGTTTAACACCCACTGGTAGGTGTCAAAAATTACCAATGTGTTCGCCCATTGGCAAGCGTCAGAAATTACCAATGTGTTCGCCCATTGGCAAGTGTCAGAAATTTACCAATGTATTCGCCCAGTGGCAGGCGTCAAAAATTACCAATGTATTATCCCATTGACAGGATTACAGAATGAACCGGTCATATCAATAAACATGTTGATATGTGCTAGCATTTACTTCCACTGGCGGGCACACGAATAACATGACCATATCAAAGACAACACCATGCAAGATTTACAGAAAAATCCGTAATTCACAATCAATCTCAAATTTCAAAAATAACCAGAAAATTCCACGTGGGCATGGATTTAACAGAAAATCATAATTTACAAAAATTCTCAAATCATCAGATTAGTTCAGTAAATTCCAAGTGAGCATGCTCTACTCAATGAAAACGAAAATAATTCCATTTCAAATCAATCATACTCGGTGCTAATAAAATCAATTTAAACATTGCCACCATCTCAAAACCAATTTAAAACATACTTTGAAATCGAAGGGCATTACCATAATTTATTTACCTCAAATCACACAGATCAGAAGGCTTAACCCAAGTGCTAAGGTGATAGAATGATCAAGAACCTAACCAAAATATTCCAGAATTAATGCCACACTACCACAAATTCAAAGTGAAATTATCATTAAAACTACCCCTAATCATGCTATTTCTATCAGTCTCCACATGATCAAACGTCTCCACATGATCGACATCTCCAAATTTGTTATTATATTACAAACTAAACATTTAATCCCTGTTAATTGTTGGCCATTATTGCATGAACAGTACCCGTAAACAGTGCCCCGTGAACAATGATCACGCAGCGAACAGTGACTGCAACTTCCAAAAATTTGCAAAACCATAGCTAATCTCATGGGATTTTTCTCCAAAATCTCATAGCAGTCAACTCAAGCAATTTATACATGAATTAAGCTTAATTATGCTCTAATTACTACCGAAATTCATCCCCTTTTTTCAACAGATTTTCGGACAGCATAGGGCAGCAATTTAACATACAAATTTCCAGCAACTAATGGGTAATTTTGGACTTAAATGGAGCTGCCACTTACCAAAATTTAGCAAGCAAAACTGGAGCTGCAGTTTGGGGAGGAGCCGGCGGGAATGGAGGGGAAATTCGGGAATCTACCCAAAAATTGGAGAAACCAAGAGGAATTTAGAGTAAACCCAAACCAATTCAAGGAAAAACAGAGAATTTAATGGCTGTTTCTTACCAGAATTTTGAAGAATTTCGCACCCATAAACAAGAGCAGTCGACGGAAGGAAGGAAGGAAAGTCACGGGGCTACCAAAATCTGGAGAAACAACAGATTTAACATGAACCCAAGCTAAATCAAGCTGAAAAGATGGAGTTCATGGCTGTGGCTTACCGAAAAAATGCTCAGAAATCACACATAGCAGAAGCTGACGAACAGTAAGGGGAAAGGAAACAGTGCAGATCTGGAAAATTCTGGGTTTAGGAGAGTGTCCTAAGTCCTAAATCTTGTCCTTAAACAAGAAAAGAAGGGAAATCTCAAGCTTCTTACCGATTTTTTCCAAGGGGAGGTGTGGGTCGGCTTGGGTCTTCTTGTTCGGTGCAGGGAGAAGAAGAAGAAAAGCAAAATCGGGCTGAAAAAGAAAGAGGAAAAAGAGAAAAAAATAGTTGATCCTTATCCAAATTTTCCTTTTTTAAGTCTTTCAAGTTTGGATATTTTAGCTAATAAATCTCAAAATAATATTTTCTCACACAAAGGTCCTTAACTTAAATGCTAGAATTTCATAAAATTTGGGATATTACACTCATCCCTCCTAAAAAGGAGTTTTGTCCCCAAAACTCAAATTGAAGATCATGTGAAAACCGGACCAAATCGGTCGATTGAACCAATTGAACCAATACTCGGTAATATAAATGGTTTGGTTTCATCCTTTAAACCATTTAAAGATCAAACCATTTGAAAACCGATAAGAACCATTGGAACCGCTCAAACTGAAAAACCATTCGACCGGACGGTTCAATGCTTGAGAACAAAAACTTGAGAAATTTGTCCCCCATGAAGCTTGAACTTGCAACCTTGAAGTCCTTTTAATTTATTCCAACCCTTTGCCATAAGGACAATGCACTCCATTTGTCAATGGATGCTTGAAATTTTATTTAGTTTATTTCTAAAACCATAATTATTTAAAGTTTGTTCATAAAGGTACTCGAACCTGTGATCTTTGATATGAGAAAACAACCATTTACCATCGCACTCAATGGACATCTTATGAAATATTTTACAAAATCATATATTTATACTATATAAAAGAACTGGCAGTTTTACCAATTAAATCGGTTAAATCGGTCAAACCGTGAACCAGAGGTCAAAACGGTTTGACTTCCAGTTCGGGTTTAAAACATTGCATCTAAACTGATGAATGGCTTCACACAATCCAAGACAAAACAAATGCCACACCAACTCTTTATGAACAGAACATAGCCTACTACGCTTCCGCTGTGCCACTCTGATATCAAACCACAACTAATCATAAAAGCAAAACATTAACTACTTAATAGGGTTTACCATGAAACAGACTACTAAAGGCTGGAGTGATATAAGGAAGCACAAGGAATAAAAATAAATCCTGCCAAGACTACAAAAAAACATTTGTGGGGTTACGCTATGAACCCAGCACAACGGTGAGTTAGCAAAGAATGTCATGGATTTAAAGACGAGTACAACAAAATTTTGAACTCTATCAAAGATGGATAAGCATCCAATGGATATATGGATCATGAATGAATGAACAAGTGCATGGATGCCTTATAAATTCTGCCACAACAAGGTTAACCAATAAGTAAGATCATGTTTAACAAAACAACTGGAATTAAGAGACAGATTTTAGCAATTAACAAGAGTTAAAAGCTAGACCCATTAAATGACATGTGAAATTTCCAGAATAGCATTAGAATGAAATCAGTGGAAAATATGAATGCTTGGAAGAATACTGGAATATAAGAGTGCAAGGTAGAATGCCTCAAAAATTTCAGCAACAAAACGGCATTCACCAAGAATCAAGATCAAATTTAACCAAACAGTCAAAATTGAGAGACAAGAGTTAACCATGAAACAAGCAATAGAATTCAAGGATTAGGCCCACAAAAGAGATTTCAATAATGACAACCAGAACACTGATTCAAGAGCAGATATAACCAGGATGTCAAAATCTAGCACTCAAAGTAACACGAATTCATTAACAGAATAATAAATAGTGGGGATCAGGATACTTAGAAGATTACTGTCTTCTAATTAAAAGGGCAGACAAAAATCAAAGCAGCCAGATAAAAGAACCATTTCTCTTGGAACAGAACTCTAGGGCATCAGGTACTTCAAAGACTACCCCTTCACCTCGTAGCCCATGGAGGCTAAGCAAATTTACAATCAAGTCATCCTAGACATCTTAGAGTCAAGTCAAAGCTAAGACATCAAGCATGCAGAGAGTAACACTTGCAAAAGGCAAGAATTAGGATGCCTCATATAAGTATTTTCTAATAATCATCACCCCTCCTAAAGAGATGTCCATATGAACAAAATCAAAAATCAAGAAGATCAACAGGTATACTAAAACAAGAACTAGCAGAATATGCAGGATTTGAGCAAGAGCAGTATACAGAATTTGAGCAAGAGCAAGGGTCAGGACAAGAATGGTTTTCAAGGACAATTCAAAATAAATTCCAAAAACCAAATATCAATTGATTTTCAAGAAAAGGATGCGAACATGATTTTACTCCAAGCAAGGTTCAAGATAAAATTTCAAGAACAGTGCAAGAATTAATTTCAGACAAGTATCAAGATAATGAGGATTTCAATAATCATCATCCATTTCCTTTGGATTTCAGTTTCAAGAACAAGTACAAAGCAATCTCAAGAAAGATTCAAGATGGATTTCAAGAGTTTCAAGCAGTTCCAAGTATCAAGAATGTAGAGATTAGCAACAATAGAGAGTTTAACTTTATAACAGCTTGCCAATCTTCACAAAACACGGCAATTTCAATTGAATTGATCACTATTTTTGATTAACCAATATAGAAAAATGAGCCACATGAAAAGACCATGAAGCTCCAAATGGAAAAAAGTGAAATTTCACCATAAGACTTTCAGAAAGATAATGAGCAGCGAAATTACCAAGTTATCCAGCTCCTAAAACGCATCTAGAAAACACACAACATTTGCTAAAATAGCCTTGAATCTCTTACAAAGTAAAGGGTTGCCCATCTTCCACTGGTCATGTGACAAACAGAACAAATTTCTCAACCAACTATGTTGTAGAGACTAACAGGATCAATAACAAAAGATCTTTGCAACTCCCCAGATTTTACAATTGTGGCAAAAGAGCATACAAAAATTCTATTAAAGTAACAAGTCTAAACAAGTGCAGACTATAAAAAAATGACCAAGTTTCGAAACAAGGTCTTAAGAACATGGCGGACAAGATTAATTTCATGAATCTACACAGGGAATGAAGGTAGGAAACAAGAACAATCAAATTATCATCTCATCAAAATGGATTAGAAAATTCAGGCAACATGAATCAGAATCGTCTCTTATATAACCCCATCACTCATCTCATCACGGTTCTAAAATCCACTGACCAGCCAAGTTCTAAACAAATCCTAGGTATTTAATTTAAACATAGGCTCTGATACCACTAAATCCGTCACACCCCAAAACCCAACTTCGAGGCGTGACAGATGCCGTACACTGTGAGAGGTCCCATAAATGCATAAGGCATGGAATTTATCCAATTCACATCTGAAATCCAATAACTTAAATCAGATATTTCAAAATAATTCTATGTCCAACATGACTTAAACTCAAAATCTCAAGGTCAAATCTCTTGCAAATTAACAATCCATTAAATGAATTTATAAAATCTCAAATTAAAATCTAGATTACAAGATCATGATCTATATTTAAAATCTATATCAAATTTACAAGATGGCTAGCCTTCTAACTTGTCACTCCCCTCGTTTTTCCCCGTCGTTGACTTCGCTCCCTGAAATGGTGGACAAGGAAAACTAGGTGAGATAAAATATCTCAGTAAGTAAATATATGGATAGCCCGTGAATAAAATTTTAACATGCCTGATAAACAGTTTAACATAACCAAACGTTCAATGATAAACCGTTAATACAAAATAAGATTTAGTTTAATAGCAAAGCATTCAATGACAAACCGTTAATGCAAAAGAAAATTCAGTAGTAGTCTCATCTATAAGTCATGGCCAGCGTTTAACACCCACTGGCAGGCATTAGAAATTACCAATGTGTTCGCCCATTGGCAAGCGTCAGAAATTACCAATGTATTCGCCCAATGGCAGGCGTTAGAAATTACCAATGTATTCGCCCAGTGGCAGGCGTAAAAAATTACCAATGTATTATCCCATTGGCAGGATTACAGAATGAACCGATCATATCAGTAAACATGTCAACATGTGCTAGCATTTACTCCCACTAGCGGGCACACGGATAACATGACCATATCAGATACCAACATGCAGGATTTACAGAAAAATCCGTAATTCACAATCAATTTCAAATTTCAGAAATAACCAGAAAATTCCATATGGGCATGGTGTTGACGTGCCAAAATGGATGGAGTCGCCATCTATCCAAATGAGGTGGGATAGATCACCAAGGTCTACGTAGAAATTGATTAGATTCGGAGGGTCGGTTAAGTGTGGGGAAGGTGTTAGGCACCCCACAAACTTCCATATAAATATGGTTACCACATACTTTAATTTTGGGGAAATTTCAATTTTTATCAAATAATAATAATTACCAAATAAATAAAAAAAATCACTTCAACAAAAAAAAAAAAA